AAGCTACCTTATATTGAGTTAGACCATTGAACCATCTGGCTCACTGTTCTCCATTATGGCCTAGTGGCTCTGGGAAGAAGCCTATGACACATATAATACAAGTTTATGGTAGGACTCATCTGATAGTGGAGCCTCTGTCTGCTCTATGTTTTGGTAACTTAACACCAGAAAAAGAAGACTGTAATTCAAGACTTCATCTTAAACAAAAGTTGGAGTGTCTGACAAGGACCAAGCCCTTCTTGGCAGCAGAAGATAGAGCCTGAAATCCAATGTGGCTGTCAGAGGGCCTTGTCCATTGGTTGGCATCTCTTCACTGGCTGCTTAGTCAACTTAGCCATTGCCCATACTGCCTACTGAAGACTAGGTGATCTGAAGGATGGTAGAGTCACTACAGGCTCATCTCATCTGAGGCTGGGTCTGCTGCTGACCTCATGTCTGATGCTGAGTGGAAGGGAAAGCAGGTGTTTAAGGAGATAAAATGAGTGGAGGTGAGATTTGAACCAGGGTCATTCTGGTTCAGATGACTTAACCACTGAACTATATCAGCTTTAAAAGGGCAAGATCAATTGCTGCATCAAATCTCTTGAGCTTGCTCTCTTGCAAATATGCTGAAGCCAATATAATAAAGGCCCTGCATTGTTTAATAGTGTGCAAAAATATTACTGTTCATAGGCTTCAGACATTCTATGCAGTCTATTATTATTATTATGATTATCTCTCATTTTAAGTTCTAGTTTCTTATAACTCCTTAATAGTGATTGGTTAAGCAACTACTGCTTTTTAGAAAAGATTAAAACCACTCCTTTGATGGGAGGAAAGAGCCATGAAAGAGCCTTGAATGATAATATTCCTTCAGAGCTTTAGGAGTTGCTTAAAAAAGACAACACTACATTGTAATAAAATTAATTAAGGAGAGAAGTTATAAATAAAGTGAACTGAGAACATCCAAAGAATTTTATCCAATATCCTGTAAAAGAGGTAAGTGCTTGAAATTTTTGTTCAATAATAATCTGAACCCTGAATTAATCTAAGAAGAACAAATCTTCTAGTATGCTGATAGCCCTTGATGAATAGCTAAACACTAATTCCAATATTTCATTGAGTTCTACAATTAAACAAATAGCGATCCTAACCCTGGATTTACTTACTCCTAATTCTGCCTGCACTTGTGGAGCCTGAAAGATAAGTCAGTAAACTGGAGCTGGGGTGACATCTACATGGTGCTTTTCTTGTTTTAAGTCACGTCTACAAAACTAGGAGCACAAAAAGGGAGGTGATAAATGAAAGGGCACTTTGTACAAACAACAAAGCTCTAGAAGCTAGGGAGACCAAAAGTGCAGATGAAGCATACTGGAGCATTCTGGGATGGAGTGCAATGTCTCTTGATAACGTATGTATAAGGAATTCCCTGATGCCAAAGGGAGAAGGGGAGCTAGGCCAAGGTATTCTTTTTCACTTTCTCAGTCAACAAGTGACAAACATCTGGATGTAAGGCCTATATGCTGCAGCTACTGCCCAAGACACCTCAGTGTAGCCATGCTTCTCTCGTTCCCTAAAGGCAACCAGGCAGACATTCATTATGCATACATCAGTAACTTTCTGCAATCTGATAATAATGCAGGGAGAGAGAGAGAGAGAGAGAGAGAGAGAGAGAGAGAGAGAGAGAGAGAGATTGTTTTAATGATAAATGATTATAGATTTTGGCGATCTACACACAAACAGATAAAAAAACCTTTGGCATGCAAACTCTACTGCAAAGGCATATCAAACCACCTTTTCAATTATGTATCTATTGCTGCTGGCTAGCAGAAGTTCTGTTGCTGTTGTTGTTTCATCTAAACAAAACCCAGTACCAGCAAGAAACTGCTTCAGCTGCATCCATCTTATGTCCTTATTGGCTGGCCAAGGGTTGCAATATTAATCAACGCAATCCATCCATCAATTAAAATATTATGTCTTGATAAATCACAGCCCTGATTAATCAAGTGCTCTATGCTTCATTTGGCTCAGCACTTCCATCTCTCTCTTTCTCCCTCTCTCCCTCCCTCCCTCTCTTCATTTCTTGGCAGCATTTATTCCAGCATTGAGCTGTGGCTTCCTCATCCTTCCTCCAATCCCATTCCACTCCTGTGTGTGAGTTCCCTCTGCCGCCGCCGCTTCCCCAACACAGTTGGTGTTCAGCACGGGCGCATGATCCACTGCTGACACAACTGGGTCCCTTTCAGCACAACCACATGGTGGCCAGGGCAGTCTACATGCTGAGAAGCTGTGCAGATAGGAGGGGCTCATGATCTCAGCACTGACTGCTATTCAGGGAAGTCAGAAGGATGAGGGTTGCAGCGCTGCTTTTTCTTTCTCTACCCTGCACAGGCAAAGCACAGCCGCTAAATATCAGTAGTGGCGGGGGAGGGGGGCACTTAGGCAATGAGGGTTCTGGGCTGTTTACATTTAGGTACAACCCTTGGTTTCTTCCAGGTATGATGGTTGAAAGTAGTATGTCCATGTTCCTCTCAGAATACCAGCTGCTGGGAGAAGCTACAGAGAATGAAGCATGCTTGGTATTATAGCAGCCTTCATACTTCAAACGTGATCTTCCAGTGTGGAGATGGATGTTAATACCTAATGTGTTCACTTGGTATTATGGTTACATTTATTTTAATAAAAAATGGTTAATTTGTTTTATGACTATGCATATTTAATCTGCTAAACTAAAAACCTGGCAATTGATTAAATGTTCTTTAATCAGATTGCAGCTCCTAATTGCTGCACATGTAAAGGGTTTATATGCCAGTGGTATAGCTACTCCTCTGGAACAAACTCCTGTTGGAGGCATGTCAGATTTCATTTAGACCACAGACAGATAGACGTGGGGAATGAGACTTGCCATGTTTACTTGTAAAACCTATTGTACATCTGTAGCAAAGCAATACATGAACACAGTACAGCAGCATCTACACGTTTCACAAAGAGGGAGCACAAAATTGCTTCCACATTACAAAGGCTTTCCTGCATGGAATAAATTTCCCACATAAAGTGTTGTGAATGAGTGTGCCCGGTTATCCTAATATGCTTGACAGATAAGTTAACATTCATAATGCATATTTTAATGCTCTATGGAGCAGTACAATATACCACTTCCAGGTGAGCTGCTCTTGCTATTAATTTCTGCAGAGTTTTACTGGATGTCTTACTGGCAGCTATTAAACTAACCTATATGCACCCTTGTATATTGACTAAGCTCGAAAGCTCTGGCTTTGGCTAAAGACCCAAGGAACTGCTACCTGAGTAGCCTTTTTATAGCCAGCCAGCCCTTGCCAAGTCTTGCCAGCTAGCAACAGAGTTCATGAAGAAAAGAAACAGCAAACACGGTAGAGATTTTTTTTGAAGATTTTGAATCAGTAATATGAAGTAGAAACCCTGCATTATGTTACCTTACCTATATCGACAGCTACAGAATATACCAAGGTGAAATGAAAGAGAGTTCTTTGACAATTCATTAGCACCATAAAATGGCGGTCTTGCACAGCTAAAATGCTATTCCAGCTCAGGCCTAGTACTGGGATAAGTTTTAAATGCCCGGGGATGAAAGAAATTTACCCAAGTTTCATACAGCTGCCTAAAATTCAGGGAAATTGCATCTTCCACATTCCATATTTAGATTCAGGTAAGTAGGAAGCCTGGTTATACCAACAGAAGAATAATCTGGACCAGCACTAGATTTATAATCCTTCTCGCTTTACACCAATCCTTTCCAATCTCATCATCTACTCCCAGTAACCATTAATAACAGCTCATCGCATGGGAACTTGCAAAACACTGTACTTGTGGAATCAAAGAACAAATCTGTATTGCATCACTGACACTGGGGGCAAAGTCCATATGGACCAGGGCACAAAGAGGCACCACAGTGCTTCCAGAGGTCCTTGTATTTGTATTTGCTCCTTGCAGTGTATTTCCTGCCTCCTGCCCACCACAATAACTGTCCTTTCCTTAATCTCTACTGCACAACACAAATATATTTTTCTATAGCTCTATAGAGTCCTGTTCTAGAATGGTAGCTATATCTAACATACAGGAATCCACGAGTACTAACTGGTAATTCAGTTCTTGACGCTTTATAGCAATTTGTAAACTGCTTTGAGTTTGTTTGCTTTTTACAATCAAGCAGTGTATAATTTTTATGAAACAGATAATAAATTTGCAAAAAATAAAAATCTTCATGAAAATTCACCAGTGTTTTAGTGAAAATTTCTTCCAATAAGCTATTTTTTACATGCCATTTTGACTAATGTACACATGTTTTACAAATGATTTTCCCTAATAGAATGCATTTTTGTATGTTATTTTGTCTTCGTTTTAATGCACTTTCTTCTAATATATATGCATTCTTATAAACACTGGTTGGTTGAGAAATGCATTGCAAAATTCAGATAGGTGTGCCTTTTGAAGGCTAGCTATGCTTTGGTTTGCATATTGTTTTGGAAAGTGCAACTTTGATACTTTCAGATTTGAATCAAAGTTCTCCTCCAACCTTAGGTGATGTTGTCGGGGGGGCAGGGGGACACAAGTAACAGAATAATTGAAGGCGCCCGCTTAATGGCACACTGTATAAACCACATGCAGTAAGAACTGTCGCTTTCTGACCTGGCCTATTAGGAAAGAGCTACTTGCAACTAGGGATGCATGTGGTCAGAAGCCTGCAGGGTTTAAAATGACAGCTCTGAGTTAACAGATCAGAAAACAGCACTGAAAGGGCTATATTTACCCTCGCTGTAGTGTCCAGGAAGAAAGGGCTTGACATTTTATCCCCCTTTGATGTTTCACCATTTAAAATCCTTTCCCTTCTCTGTCAAGTTGAAAGCTATTTTCTGTATAGCTCTCTGTTCTGTGAATCTATTATTTCAGAAGACACGGAACCTGCCACTTAAATGACAGCAATCCAGCACCCCCAAAGTGGGTTTTGCTTCTAGCTTAAAGGTGCTTCTTGTCCTCCTTACCCAGCTGGGATAGCTCAGTAGGTAGAACATGAGGCTCTTCATCTCAGGGTCATGGGTTCAAGCCCCAAGATTTCTGCACTGCAGGGAGTTGTGTTAGATGGCCCTCATGATCCCTTCCAACTACAATTTTATGATTCTATGACTGAAAAAAGTTCTACAATTTCTGAAACCAACCTTGCCCAGTTCCATTCTCTTTACTCTCTATCACAGGCTTCCTCAACTTTGGCACTCCAGATTTTTTTGGCCTACAACTCCCATGATCCCTAACTAGAAGGACCAGTGGTCAGGGATGATGGGAATTGTAGTCTCAAAACATCTGGAGGGCTGAGGTTGAGGAAGTCAGCTCTATCATAAGATGGACTTTAATGGTAGACTTCCAGACTGATCATGCTACCTGCCCCATCAAAACAGAGGGCTAGTTTATTCAATCAAGATTCAGAGGGTGATTGATTAGTTTCATTTTGCCAATTCCCGACTACCTGATGGCCACAGCCCTAAAAACCTGAGGGTCAGTGGCTGTTATCCCAACATCCAGAGTCATGATTATACCATTCCCACACCCCTTATTATTACATGCAAAGGAAAAGAAACCATTAATAACTCCTCACTTGTATTTATAGACCTCCCTGTTAGGAAGTTCATAAATGAAAGATTACCTGTGACCCAGCTGGAGGTCTACATCCAAGTTATGCTTCACTAAAAGAAACTGGCTCCAAGAGTAAATTACACTTTACTTAATTATTTTTTTTTGGGGGGGACACAAACTATGAGCCTGGGTTTGGATGCAATGCTAATCTAAACCATGGTTTTGCTCCCAGGAGCAAAGCAAAAGGATGAGTGGAGGAGAAGCAAAATACTCACAAATTTCTAAATGTACCACCATTTGGCTCAGCATTTTGTGCAAACAAGGCCAGTATAATTTTACTGAGTCAGGTAGCTGTTAAAACACACACACTTATGGTACGAATGAGGAAGTTTTGTTCCGCTAGATATTGTTGAACTTCCATCATTCCTGACCATTAGCCATGCTGGCTGGCATTGATGACAGCTGGAATCCAACAACATCTGGAGGGCCACATGTTCCCCATCCCTGACATACAGAGATTGTTCACAGTATAAAGTGATATCCAACAGCTATTAGACCCAACAGCTTAAATATAATTTCTGCACAAACAAGCAGTATACTTTTGATAAACATATGCTAAGAAGGGTAACCAACCGGTGATTGCCACTGCACTTTTTTGTTGAGTTTCCCTGTTGCCTTTTACTGGAAACATAATGTAAAACTAGGAAGGGTGGGATATAAATTCATTAAATAAGTAAATGTTGACCTTTGTTTGATACAGTAAGGCAATTTTTATATCTGCACATAAAGTAGTCTGACTGTTTTTAAAGAAATGGAATCTATCTACTTCTCCCATCCACTACATAACAGAACTAAATAAAATGGCTTGAATTTTTTTCATAACAATCTATGAATCACACTGGATATAAGCCAGTTCCTTCACTCACTCAGAACAGGACTTATCAAATTTAGATTAGATCCAACACAGCCACTGTGAATAAGCTGAATTCACAACAGCTCTAGAAACAGCAAATTAAAAGTATTTTAAACTATTCAGTGGTAACTAATTTAAATATGTGTCTAAGTAAACGAATAGTCAAATGTAACTCATGAAAATAAAAAGCTGTATTAAGAGTGCACACTGCTGCTTCCTCATCACATAAACATCTTAAGAAGGGCGCTGATTTTGCTGGCCATAAAATCCCTTTCAGCACTGCTATATTTAATTACTGCTTAATCAAAAAGAGTCTAATTAGAGGGCAAATGCAGCCCTTTATATTGCAATGATTGCATTTGTCTCTTTTATTTCAGAACTCATTCTCATCAGCTTGCTTCTGAATCAGATTTCTCTCACACAACAGAAAGCAATGCAATTATTTCAGACTATAAAAGAAAATGTAATTGCTTGTCACAAATTGAATACATTTCTAAGAAAGTGGTGTGACAGTTAGTTTCTTAGGAATGTCACTGACAATCCTTTTTCTGCTGAGGTTTGCCATATGGGGATGAATGAGCATGTGGCCGAGTCACTGGGGTCAAGTTCCTTTCTCTGCCACTACAGATGCCCTGTTTATTCTTGGGCTGCAGGGTGCTTTGTGGCATGCTTCCAGTGACTGTGTGGTAAGGCCTTCTGGAACATCATACTACAACCATACCATCCCTCAAGGGTACATGTCAGACCTCATGCTAATTGTTTAGCGACTTAAGCCACTCTCAATTTTAGACCTGCTTTACAGCTGTTGGATACTGATTTCTGTTTTCCTGTATTAGATGCTTAAGATGGCTGCTTCCTTGATGTCTGGGAGGTGGGAGACTCTTGACAGCCTTTTATCTGCCACTGGGCTCCCACAGTTCAGTTAACTGTTTGCCTGTTGCAGTGACTACAGCAGTTATGAAATCTACTGCCAGATCATTCCAAAGGAATTGTCCCAGAGGAATTCCCTAATAAATCTGTCTGGTTAAAAGTGTCCCTGAAGTTGACACTGCTGTCCTGTTTCTCAAAACAGAACACTACTGCAAATAATGTGTTCCTGTTGCAGAAGCTCTCTTTTCAGTGCTATGCCCCAAAGGCCATGCCAGCTGTGATATATATTGTGCAGGTTTAATGAACAGCTCATCCAGGCTTCATTTTTGTAGGCAAGATTACTGCTAAAATTAGGGCAAGTTTGCCCAGTCATCTGCTACCACATTTTCTCCATGCAAACAGTCTCTGTGTATACAACTGCTTGGGGAAAGTTATAGCGTGAATTGTAAGTATGGAGTTGGAGGAGGCAGGGGTTGTTGTTTAGGTTTTGCAGAAGTTTCCATGACTGCAGCAACACAAATGCAGGAAAAATGCATCCTTATGCCACAGATTTACATAGGACTTTCTCCACATACTCACAGAACCTTGCATGTCCAAAGAACAGTTTATGAGGAGACATTTCAGTCACAGAAATGATTGTCACTCAGTAATTTCAACCACTAGGAAAAGAAGATCCATTGGTAGGTGTTCCCCTCCACCAAACTGACATAAAAAATGCAGGCTATAACAAATGGTGAACTGATAAATGGGGCAATTTTTAAATTCTATTTTATCCGCACCATTCCTGGTGCAGCTAGGCTTTCTCTTCTCAAGCTTACAAGGCATAAATATCCAAATTGCAAAACGGCAAAGAGAAAAAAATCAAGGTCAAAAAAGCATGTTGGTCAATAATGAAAAAACAAAACAAAACTCCCAAACCCATAAAATGTTGACAGAAATACGCTCCCCACCCCAAAGGTTTATAGTTAGCCAATTAGGACCAACTGAATTGCCACAAAATTGTGGCACGCTTTCAAATTCCCCAGAACTCATCAGCAAACTGCCTTGGTTGCCTTGTACTTGTTGGAAAAGAAACAGAGGGAGTGTGACTATTACGTTGCCGATTCACCATCTCTCAGAGGCTTTTGATATCATCAGCCATTGTTGGCTGTCCAATCTGGGTCTGAGGGACAGTGTTTTGCCGCTGTTGTAATCCTATTTATACAGCCATCTCCAGAGAGTGGTGTTCGGAGAATACTGCTCAGTCCCATGAAGCCTTCAATGTGCAGTTCCACAGGAGTCAACCTTACCTGTTCATCCAGAGATTTGGAGTGTGTTGTCACCAATATGCTGATGGTACACAGGTGTATAATTATTTTTGGTTTACACTGACAGGTGAGGAAGAGGATGTGCTGGATCAGTTTCTGGCTTTGGTAATAGACTGATGGAACAATCCCCCATCTTTCCCCCCACTCCACTGTTCTGTGGCTTCTCTTGGTTCAGTTTCAGGGGGACAAGAGAAGGGACAGTCCTATGGCACTAGTGGAAGTGCTTGAGCATGGCTTCTTCTGATGGGAGTTGTTAGGTGAATCCCACCTAACTACTACTACTGCTGATTTCACACAGAGCAAGGGGGATGAGAAAAAACAAAAAAAGCACAAAAATTAAGTTACTGTAGTCATGAGGTCAGCTTGTAGACTTGGTTACACGATGTAGATTGCAGACTTTATAAGTCCCTCCCAGATGCTACAGATCAGGCATAGGCAAACCGGTCCTCCAGATGTTTTGGGACTACAACCCTAGCTAACAGGACCAGTGGTCAGGGATGATGGGAGTTGTAGTCCCAGAACATCTGGAGGGCTGAGTTTGCCTATGCCTGCTACATAACATATGTCCTATGGTCCCGGGTTAAAGAAGTAGTGGCTGCTTCTGCTTTCTGAGAAATTAAAGCCTGGCTTCTTATAATGCAGATATGCCCCACACCTTAAATGCAAAGCACAGGTGGGGTAGGCAGAGGGCAGAAGGAAGGAGTTATTAATTTTGCAGACCCATTCATTACGTTGGTGGTGTACTAGGTAAGAAGCGTCAATTGGAGCCAAATGTCATTGTGGCTGCAGGGGATGTAACTCTCAAAATGCAAAGTCCATCTCTGGGAGGTGAAAAATCATCTTCCTATGTTTTTGGAAAAATTTTATAGATCTTCACCTTATGCAAGAACAACATTAAGCTGCTTCAGGGGAAAGTACAAACTGTCCAATTCATTTGCCAGCAGCTAAAACCCACATTAAGATGAAGATCAGATAGCGATAACAATTAGCACTAATTTGTATTTAACATTTTCAAAACATAGTACAAGCATTCATTATTACATTCCCATCACTGCTGGGAGGTAAGTGGCTGAGACATTTGTGCTGAAATTTCTGAAGCTACACACATATTCACTGAGCTATGATTTCAGCTTGAGATACTATGAAGAAAAGTACCTATAAGAAACAGATAATTCCCATTTCTCTTAACCCTTTCCAACTTTCCAATGGGAAAGGTAAGCCATCAGGTTTTGGAATCTCTTTAGGATGGATACTGTTTCACAAAAAGTAATTTTGGGTTAAATTATATATAAAAATGAGAACACAGCCTAATATGTATTCTGAATGGCCTCATCCACAGAGAATACATGGCAATGACTATATTAAAAAAGGAGAATGATTTGTTCAGGCTGAGAATTTATCT